ACTTAACCTTTGTTGTCCTTATTCTTAGAGTCTACACATTGTTACCCCCTATGTACAACTTAAAAACGATGCACCTTACTCAGATTTACATAGGAGATACCAAGCTCTTCTAGCTCTGCTTGACTGACTTTACCAGTCAATTAGATATAGAAGTCCAAATACTACATGTGTTAATGGGCCTAAATTCTTCTTCTAGCTCTGATTGGCAGATGTGTTTCCGCCAATGAGATGTAGGAGGTTAACACGTAATCCTTAATAGCCACTCCAGCTCAAGACAATATTTTCAAATAACTTTGTTAGCATTAACATTTTTTAATGTCTTGGGGTGGTGGGACTACGGCACACTGATGTTAACTTTGTGTATTTAAATGTTAATTGTATTTTGTTGTGTGGTGCTGTTAATATAAGTTATAAAACTTGAGTGCAGCGTCACACTGTCCTTGTTATGTTTTGATGCTTTGATGAAAAAAAAAAAACTTTTGTTGTTGGTTCTCCCCATGTAGGCATACAAAATGGTGACCGTGTGCGACGGTACATATCTGAAGATGAGCTGCTCAGGGAGCTATCTGCTCTGGATAACGCCCTGAAGAAAGACCTTGAACACGACAAAAGGGATGGAGGTATATTAGTATTTTCCTATAATCATCACCATCTCCTATATTTTCCTATAATAAACTGTGTGTAAAAATGACTGGAAAACAGGCTGACTGGGAAAAAGCTGCCTTTGGTCAACACAACGAAAATGTAGAAACTAATTTGAACTGTCATTTCCAGAACAAAAAATTCACTCAACCTAAATTTCTAATGTTCGATTTCAGTCTTTAAAGAGGAATGAGTAATCCACAGCTTCTGTGGTGTCACGTTATGTATTGTGGTCTCTTGACTCGATGAGCCGTGAGCAGTGGATCACAAGTAACAGGGAGTTTGTGGCGCCCCCCGTCTCTGTTGACAGATGATTGTAATGCCCTGATTTACATGGCGTACTTAATTTATCTTGCAAAAATTTTGGTTCCATGTCTCAAATCTTTTATTTGTTCAATGTGAAGGAATGTCTAGAGGACTCTATATGCATTTGCATTAAAACTTCCAAAGTAGTTAGTAAGTAACTATTAGATATTATTAGTACTAAAAGAATATCACATGGAATTAGGTAAGCTGGAGTTGTCTGAAGGCATAACAAATACTGTACAATATTTAATGCTTGTCATCCACTACATCGTGTGGTAAACACAAAATGATGTCCAGACAAAAGTGTGAACAAAGCACATCTTATCGAGAGTTTTAGGACTGAAGCTATTTCTTGCTCGAGCTCGGAGACCCTCCCCTGTCCTGCCAACGTTCGTACAAGTTACCTAAGTAGAGGTTAGGTCATAGGTCTTGTATTGAAGCAATTGGGCATTAATAAGAAATGATCTAGTTAGACCTACACATTGTTTGCTAGATTTAGCATGCTAGGAAGAAAATCCATGGGTGACAACATCCATCACAAACTCTCTTAAACTGACCAACAACGAATCAATCAATTGACAGACCAACTAACCAAATATGTATATACGAACACCAAAGGTTAGTTAAGACATACAATTATTTAGTAGTACGAAAAGAATATCATATGGAATTAGGTAAGCTGGAATTGTCTGAAGGCATAGCAAATGTACCAACTGTACAATGTTTAATGCTTGCCATACACTACATCGTGTGGTAAACACAAAACGATGCCCAGACAACATTGATTTAATGACAGACACATTTTGAAAATATCAATTAAGGACGCAAATGATAAACTTAGTGATGATTTGTTCTTGGAGTTATTAATCATCATTATCTTTAGTAGGTCATCTGTGTTGGTAGAGGCCATGCTAGAACAAGTTTGAGCTGTAATTTCCAACACAAAAATTGGAATTATCCACATTTTCGACTGTTAAACTCCACTCATGGAACAGGCGATCTACCGCTATTATTATAGTTATTAATATGTAGATATAGAACAGGTAACTCGGTGAACAGTGGATCATAAGTAGCTGAGAGTATGTGTCGCCGACGCTCCAAGCAAAGTCTTTGATTTAGGGTTATTTTCATGACGTGTTTTAGACTTATATTTATCGTGGTTTCTTTTTTGCACTGGAATATTTTTCACCCACACTAACATCCCTACCTGTGAGTATAAACCTTAAACTTACATATTTCGATCAACAGTTTAACTTCCAATTTGTCCTAACTCGGTGTGTTTCACATCCGTTTCCATATATTAGGAAACAATATAACTGACCGTCAAGACAAAGAGAAGAAGAAAAATCACATGAAACAGGTGCTGAGGCAGTGTGAGTAAACCACAAGATTCATTGAACAAAAATGCCCTTTGGAAGTTTCGCTGCACATACATATAGAGTCATCTGGGCATTCCTTTACATGTGTACATCGGACAAATTAATAATCTGAGACACAGAAAGATATGTTATGCGAGATAAATTAAGTAAGCCATGTACATCAGGACATCACAACCGTCCCTCAACAGAGACGGGGGCGCCACAAACTCTCAGCTACTTATGATCCACTGTTAATCGAGTTACCTGTTCTATATCTACATAAAACGATAATAGCGGTAGATCGCCCAGTCCTTGACTGGAGTTTAACAGTATAATGCACTGATGTCCATGACTTGCTTAAATCAACTTGCATAAAATGTCTTTCCGTGTCCCAGATTCTTAATTTGTCCGATTTACACATGGGAAGGAATGCACAGATGATGTGTGTGCAGTGAAACTTCCAAAGCAGTTAAAAAGGGCATTTTTGTTCAATCAATCTTGTGGTTTACTCATACTGCCTCAGCACCTGTTTTATGTGATTTTCTCCTTCTCCTTGTGTTGACGGTCAGTTATGTTGTTTCCTGATATATGGAAACAGGTGTTAAACACCAAATTAGGACAGATTGGAAGTTGGTCAATATATGTAAGTTTAAGGTTGATACTCACACGTAGGGAAGTTGGGTTGGGTGAAGAAAAATTCCAGTGCAAAAAAGAAACCCGATAAAGAACCTAAAAGCACGCCAAAAATAACCCAAAACCCAAACCTCTGCTTGGAGAGTAGGTGCCACAAACTCTCAGCTACTTATGGTCCACTGTTCACCGAGTTACTTGTTCCATATCTACATAGTAACAATAATAGCGGTAGATCGCCCGTTCCTTGACAGGAGTTTAACAGTCGAAAATGTGGATAATTCCAAGTTTTTGTGTTGGAAATTACAGCTCAAACTTGTTTTAGAATGAAGTCTACCAACACAGATGACCTTTCAATCTTACGTAAAGATAATGATGATTAATAACTCCAAGAACAAATCATCACTGAATTCATCATTTGCGTCCTTAATTGATATTTTCAAAATGTGTCTGTCATTATATCAATATTGTCTGGACATCATTTTGTGTTTACCACACGATGTAGTGTATGGCAAGCATTAAACATTGTACAGTTGGTACATTCGCTCTGCCTTCAGACAATTCCAGCTTACATAGCTAATCCTATATTACTTAGTATATTCTTTTCGTACTACTAATCTCTACTAAATAACTGTATGTCTTAACTAACCTTTGGTGTTCGTATATACATATTTGGTTAATTAGTCTGCCAATTGATTGATTAGTTGTTGGTCAGTTGAAGAACGTTTGTAATGGATGTTGTCACCCATGGATTTCCTTGCTAGCATGCTAAATGTAGCAAACAATGTGCAGGTCTAGCTAGTTCATTTCTTGTACAAGCGTTGGCAGAGCAGTAAGATCAAGGTAGCCGTGTCATTTGATAGTTCAAAACGAGAAATAGGCCCAGGTATATGGTCTCCGTGCTCGAGCAAGAAATAGCTTCAGTCCTAAAACTCTCGATGCGATGTGCTTTGTTCACTCGTTTCCTAGAACTGGAAGAAAGAGGCAAAAGCAGCCAGGGCAGCCAGGGCAGCAAAAGCAGCAAAAGCGACAAAAGCGACAAAAGCGACAAAAGCGACAAAAGTAGCAAAGAACACAGCCACGGCAGCAAAAGCCACAAAAGCCACAGCAAAGAACACAGCCACGGCAGCCACCCGAGTAAAGAACACGGCAGCCACCCGAGTAAAGAACACGGCAGCCACCCGAGTAAAGAACACGGCAGCCACCCGAGTAAAGAACACGGCAGCCACCCGAGTAAAGAACACAGCCACGGCAGCCACCCG